CCATGAGGAAGAGACAGAAGACCAGAGGCTGATAAAGCGAGAGAGAGCGAAGTGGTTGAACAGAAAAAAAAAAGAGAATGAAAAAAAAAAGTACGAGAGGATGAGTTCGAACGGTGAAAACGTGGCCTACCCATCCGTCCTGTCGAGATTCGGTCGGTTTGTTGGCCTCACGATGTATGGATGGACTCTGCACCCTTGTTACCCTATCCCACCCTCCACATTCTACCCCGTTCAACTCCACAACGAAAGAGCCACTCACCCTCGCCATTATTCTGGTTGAAGACTATCTATTTCACTGGGTTAACGGTGTGGTAATGGTCAGAGGCTGTTAACTAGATTTTTCCCCAGTCGCATACGATTTTTACGTATTTTTTTTTATTAACCCAGTATTTTGATTACTCTCCCCCTCAAAATCGACATTCATAATTAAATCCCCCATGAATATCCATCAAACTACCTCCGGTTCATTCGGCACAAACAAATTACAGGTAATGGATGTGGCACGTTAAAACTACTCCACCGATAACCAATCCCAAAATTCCATCGACCATCAAAAATTCTTCGGTAATCATCATAATTACCGAGAGTACATCCGCCATTTCAAAGCGCCGCGACGCCGAAAAACCGTTGATCCATCGATGCCAGAGTGAAACAGAGAAGAAAAAAAAAGCCCACGAAGAGAGATTTTCCCCGAGTTTGTTCCATCAAAAACTATAAAAAAAAAAGTCGTTAAAAAAGTGCGTTAGTAGTGGGTGTAGGTACACAGAAGGGGTTGATGTTTTTTTTTTTCACCTCGGTGTTCGTATTATAAAAATCCACAAAATAACCGAGCAGGGCCATTAGCGATGCTCTTTTAACCCTCGCCATTCAGCGTCGTAGCCGCTGTGATGCGTGTAAATTTTCCAGTGTTGGTTTCGTCGGTCTCTATTGGACGAGTACATCCATCCTCGTCTATTTAACCCATTTTGACCCGGTGTTCTCTTTTGCGCACTCGACTACATTTTTCGCCGAGTGGTACTGCCTTGTGTGTCGCTGTTGACCCCCCTCCTCTGCTCCCTCCACCCGCTCCCCCAACGGCCCCCCGTCCACCCACCTCTACCTCCCGTTGAATCCTCACCCTCCGATCCCCTTCACTCCATCTACATAACAGCGCTCGCAACATCCCGGTGCTTGACCAGCCTTTTCCACCCCATCCCCTTCCCTCCCCCTCCTCCCCCACCTCACCCTTTTTACTCACTCCACCCACAGTGGTAATCCGACTGGCTAGCCACTCGCGCCAACAAATACCCTCACCATCCCCAATCCCCCATCCACCAACCTCATCCTCTTTCAACCTCACTCCCACACACACTGGCACCACTCTAGCCTGCACGCCAGTGGTACACTATGGTGAACCACCCCCAACACCCCCAACACCGCGAAATCCACGACTCCCCGGGTCTGTCCCTGTTGTACCAGTTCGTTCACTCACTTTTACTCGTGCACTCACTCATCCACTCACTGCATATACCGGCTACTGGCACTCCCAGTGGTATAACTTTTTTTTTTTTTTCCATCATTTTTTTACACTCACGAGCATAAACACACAGGTGCAGTAGATTCTATGTCAAACCGGTGGAATTATTTCCCTCATGTTCCCTCAATTTTTCCGTCATCGGGGGGGCTCCACCGGGTCGACTTGTAGGCTGAGTGCATCAGCTGAGTTAACAATCCCTTAATTCCTTTATAAATCTTAATAATGTTTTTTATTACTTGTGACGTGGATTGGAGACGTCCCCAGTGATCTGGGAAGTCGATAAATCGATAACAATCGTCGGTGATTGGATGTGCGGGGAAGGGGGGCTCGGCCCCCCCTCTCGGCGTATCGCTGGAATGCAGTATATGGCGCGGTTTCTCTGGAAGAAAGGACGCAGTAAAAGGGGTTTAAAGGATGAGAGAGAGTTGGTGGGTAAGGGGGGGTGATGTGGGAGACCAGGCTTTCTCTTTTCTGCACATGTGCTCGAGGGTGTAGCCCTGACAGGCTTGTGTACACCGTTGAAACCCACACAAACCCCTCGGGCCCACGTATAATCTCATCCGGTCTCCATCCCTCCCCCTGTATTTAGAATCACCAACAATGTGAGAGGAGCATCCCATAGTATCGTACGTCGAAACGAGGTCCTGTACGAACCTGTCACGCGCCTCTACATGACCCTCGCTAAACGTGTGCTCTGTCTTTATCAGGGCTAACACTCTGTTAGCTCGTTTCCTCTTTCCCACGTCACTCTTGTGTACGTTTTGCATGGGCGCTAGCATCGCGTGATCAAGAGGGCTGGAAGGGGGGCTCAGCCCCCCTCGCAGTACCACTACCAAAATCCGAAGTCTCCGTATATGTGCGTCCATTTAATATGGTGAAACGAGTGTGTTTGAGGCTCGAAAATCTCACCACGGCCAACTCGCGGTAGTTTGGTTTTTAGTTAATACCTATCGTGTACAATACTGGGTAACCGACATAACCTCGATGACTCTTCAAACTATTTTCCTCCAATCAATGTGTTCACTGGAGAATCCTGCGGATTCGAATAATCAAAATTATCTTATCACTCCGGATTATTGCTCGTGATTAATTTAGATTTTTATAGGTTATGTAGAAAAAAGGGGCGCGACGGTGAAGGGCAACGAATTTGTGGCATATCTTTAAAACTAAGGGAGATACGAAAAATTTTATTCGACCTTTTTTTTAGGTTCAATTCTACTCTACAAAAAAGGTTTTAACAAAAATTTCGGTATTTCTATTGAATTCAGAGATATTCTCGAATTTTCGGGAAAGTCGATAAATTTTGATTGTTTTCGAGAGTTGTAATACAAATTAAACAAAATTTTCGGAGAAGGCTCTGGACTTGTTTATTAAATATTTCCGTACATTCAAGTACACCAGCTGAGCACTCGCTCATGCAAATGGCCTCATGCCTAGATGTGCTAATCATCCAATTCCGTAATGATAGGGTGTCAAGGGAAGTAACAGAAGAAAGTACAATCCAGCACCCAAAAACACTCAGTCTATTTCACCGGGGAAATGAGTAAACACGAAAAGGGGCGAATGAGACAAACGAAAAGGCCTCCTCTTGACGATTCCGAGTGCGGCGAACCGGTTAACCGGTCATTAGCCGATCGCACCGGTGGATGTAAATTAAGCATCAGGGTAATTTCGGGGCTGACCTTCTCGTTCATTCTTTTTTTCCACTACACGAGGGGGAGCGTGAATAATGACAGAGTATCGCCAGGTGAACGGATATCACGAGTTTACGGGTATTACAACTGTTGTGACTACACCAGGAAAAAATTTGTTATAATAAAATTCAGTCCGACGATTAGTAATCGTCTACATCATATTTTAATTCAGAATAATTACAATTTTTTGTAAAAATCCCAATATTTTAAAACAAATAATAAATTTTTGATATTATTCTCGTTTTTTTTTGTCTCATTCATAAATCGATGAATTAGTTTTACAATATTTATCTTGTGTAATTTAGTTACTTGATGTAATTAACAATAAAAGTTGATTTAAAATATTTCCTTATATCTCATTAATATTCGAGCACCAGATGCGGCATCGAACATATCGAGTAAAGGATTCAGTATCAGAGGAAAATACTGATCCACTCCTCTAGAGACTGAAACCCCTGGGGATCAAATAATCAAAGACAAAGGAGAATTCCACATTTCGCAAGGACGTGATGTTAACCTCGTGCTCTCTTCACCTATCTCTCCTGTTTAATTTTTCCCATTTTCTCGATGTATCCATGTTAATACAACCACAAGCTCACCCTCGTCACCATCAGCTTTGTCACGGAAACCCCGTAATTACAACCCCCGGAGGTCTTCTCGTTTTTCACGCGCAATGAGAACACCACACCCTTCACACGGGGAAAATTATTCAGTAAAAATTACGAAACTATTCACGCAATTCCTAATTATTTTTTACTGTTAATGGGGGAGGAAAAATAATCCTAGTTAATTGAAAATTGATACCTCTCTGGAACAAGTTGAGAATTTTTTCTTCAGGTATTGCTCACTAAAATCGTGACGATGTCATAGATTTTCTATTTTTCACAGCGGTTGGGGGTGGCAAAGTAGAACATCCTTTCTTCAGAGGTTCTTTTGGGGGCTGGGGGAAATTAATGAAAAAGAAATCGGTGGGATCGCAGCTCTCGCCGCACATTCATTCTATCGTGGTCTCTATTTGGAGTGCGAGGGGTTGCTGACAACGCAGAGATTCCGAGGCGCTGATAGGGCGCTTCCGGGGTTTCCTGTGCTGACCCATCTCGTCTACATCCTCCATTCCATTCTCTTGGCTACCGAGAATGTATTCTCAACGATAATACGTCTCTTATACTCTCGGAAGAAATCGCTGGTATCGAATGTACACGGCATTTCCCATGAGATGAGGTAAAGAGTGTATAAGTCGATTTACAAAAGTTTTCGTGGAATATCTCTAAACCTATGAGAGACCGAGAAATTCGTGTGAATAATTTTTTGTGACTCTTTTTCTGGTCTACAAAAATGGTAGACTATAAAATTTCGGTATGTCTATTAGATTTGGAGATATTCGAGAAAAACTGGACTGAGTGAATGACGGGAAAGATAAAGTTTATCACTTATCGGTTAATTTTCGGAGAATATCTTTGAATCTGTAAGAGGTAGAGAAATTTTTGTAGATACTTTTTTCTAGCTTTTATTTTGTTCTACAGAAATGGTTCAGACGAAATTCTGCTATCTCTATTACATTCCGAGATATTTACGATTTTTACCTTTAACGTTTTTACTACTGATTTCCTCATGCATCATTTCGGATGTCTGCTGTACGTATTATCGACGATTCGACACCCGTCGATTTTACATGTATAAAATATAAACTTTCAGTGTTCAGACTTAACTTGTTACTATTATTACTATAGTTACTCAGCCATTCAGGGGTTTTCGTAGATTATCCACTAGTGAATTATTGAAGAAATTCGTCACAATCACAATTCAAATTTATTTTCTTTACATTGAGCTGCTCGAATTTTTGGTGCTTCGGGCCTCCATTCGTGCGGTATAATACATTTTTATCAGATGCATGTAAGGTAATTCGAAGACCAACGAGTAGATGTACGCGAAGAGAAAAGTCGTGACGAAGAATCCCAAGAAAAGAACGAGCTGGAATTAAACATCAGCGATGAAAAACCGTTCTTAGTAATTTTTTGAAAATATCTCTGAATCTACGAAAGAGAGGAAAATTTTTCATAGGACCTTTTTTGCAGAGCAAAATCAGAGCTGCAAAAAGTTTCCCCGCGAAATTTCGCTGTCTCTCTTAGATCCCGAGATATTCTTCGATTGAACTCGACCAGGAGCAAATCGGATCGTCACATTTCGCGTAGTGTCTTTAATTAATTAATGAGGCGTAATTAACACTCACATTTGCCACGAAGTCAATGTGAAGGCCGATCTCGCCGATCATGTAGTAGGTGGAAATGATCAGTGGATTGAGCAGATAAGCACAATACGTCAATCGACTCCCTGGCTGCATTATTTTGCTAGAGAGAATCGAGTTGACGATTCCTAAAAGATTTTGATAAGCCATTGACGTGTGAAAGGAGTTCTCAATTTTTTTGTCTGTCAGTTCAGCTTTAATCTAGCCCATGTACTCACCGCCGTAATTATTTACACATGCGAAGACAATCCATGCAATACCAATCGCCCAAACAGACCGACTCAACGCAAGATAAATAGCTGCTGGGATAGGGGAGAAGTAGAATTCTCTGTCGTACAATCCGAAGACAACGAGAATAAGACAAGCACTGGCAAAAATCCAGAGGAACCAGACAGTTTTCTGCGGAGACAATTTTCAAATGAAATAATTACGATTGATTAGGACAATTTTGTTTACGGAAAAGTGAGGATTTTCCCTCAAAATTCTTTGGCATTTCAGTGAATTTTTTTTCCGGAGGATTGATTTACCTTTTTAAATTGCGGTTTGGCCTTCATGCTGTTGCACATGTAACAGAAGGCTAGTCCAATCAGGTATGGACCTATTCTAGTCCACGGTGGGAAGTAAACTTCATATAGACTGTTCCAGAGTTCCTCGATACTATTAAGAGAATATTAATGAAATAACAAGGAAATATATCGAGAGTGTAATGAATTTTTCACTCACGTTGGGGCGTAAAGAGAGTCGTAGGCTATGTATCCAGTTATTGCGAAGGATGACAGAAGCATTATAATAAGACATCCCAGAGCTGTGTACCTGTACCTGAATCATTGGCAGAAATAATTGACTGATTAAATAAATTATAATAATTAAATAATTAACAGAAATAATTAAATAATTAACAAAGTGTTGAAGAATTTTAAGAATTTTACGATTTCAATAATTCGGTGAAATCTCAAATTGAAATGGAAGTATCGATTTCTACGTGAGACTCTGAGACTTTTAGTTTAAAAATCAAAATGTTAATTTAATTTAGAGAAAAATTATGATTTTTAAAAAATAATTCCTTACTTTCTGCCAATGAGCATGAGAGCTGTCCCGATAATGAAGAGCTGCATGTCAACTGATAGGTACCAACTCCAGGACATGCACTAGAGGATTAATAAAATTAATGAATAATATCAAATAAATACATTAATAAATAAAATTCTGTCAGATTTTTCTCAATTATATTCCGGCAAATTATAGAAAAGTTGCGTAATTTTTATTGCAGAAGGGAGAATTGCCTACGGGAAGATCGACGAATGTCGGAAGGTTATTGATGTACAGTAGATTCATCCACCAGTTTGTTGTGCAATATTTCTGGTAATCGTCGAATATATGGTACTGAGACGTTTGCTCTAAATATCCACCGGTTATTTCTGCGAGACCAATTAGTACTAAATACGGGGGAGTGAGTCTGGAATAAAAATTAATAGACAAATATTATAAGGAATTTTTGCAATAAAAAAATAAATCCTACGGTGAATAAGTACCTGAGGAATCTCTTGATAATCGCATCGATGAGTTCCCACAATCGAAATCCTTTCGGCGGCTTGTCGGCATTTCGTTTGCAAACACCGAGAAAACTGTAAGCGCTCAAAAAACCACTCAGGAATAAAAATGTGTCCACTGAGAAAGAACCATTGCTTATTATCTGCGTTACGAAATCTGCACCCACCCTGTATGACCACCTGTTATTATCTGGTAAATGCAAGTACTAAATGAACTATCTCAGAATTCCACTCGCTCCTCACTCGAATTTCCGCTGATTCTCCGAATCCAAGAGAGATATCGAAATTTTCATGAAATCCTTTTTTGTAGCCCTCATTTTGCTCTTTAAAAAATATTTTAGCACAATTTTTTGTATCTCTCTTAGATTCTGCGATATTCCCCAAAAATGCGAAAAAGCGAAGAGCGATATCTTGATTAGCTCCCCATCGGGTTATTCGAGAATATCTTCGATTCAGAGAGAGATAGCGATATTTTTGACTAAACCTTTTTTGCAGCGCCGATTCGGGTGCACAAAAGTTTTCATTATAAAAATTTCGCCATCTTTGATGGATTCGGAGATATCGGCATTTTACTACTGAATTCGTACCGGTCATCCACGTTCCGTAAAGCGCGGTATGAACAAGTAGAACCCAGCCCATACTCAAGAACCTGAGTCCATCGAGACAATCCATAGATCTACTTTTCGATGTATCAAAAATATATAGCGAATTTGTGTACGCCGAGAAGGAGAGTACAATAGCACCAGCTGCCCCTGGACGACTGACCGGTGGAGGCGGATTGGAAGGGCCTCCATTCTCTACACTGACTTTAGGCCCTAAAAAATGAAAAAAAAAATCGTTTACTTGACCCATTTTCCCCTCCATCGTATGGCCCAAATATTCAACTACCGGGACTCGCTGTTTTATTTTTTTGTAAACGTTTCTGATGCACCCGAAGATCATAACAAGTACCCACGATCACCAGCAACAAGGACACGAGGATTATAATCCTGTTAATAAAAACATGTACATCCAGTGAATTATCATGAATTATTCAAAAGTCCATGACTGCATACCCCGTGACGATGACTCGCCAAGTCATCAGGTACGTCATGTCATTCTTCAAGTCCCTGACTGACATGAGAGTGAAGTCCATTTGGTAGAGATTGCCAATAGACCAAGTTCTCTCATCAAAGATTTTTCTCAAAATCATCTCAAGCTGATCAACACGACAGACATCGGGCAAACACAGCCCCAACTTTATGATATCCTGTTAACAATTCGTCCAGTGGATTCAGTACGAATTTCTTCGGTTTGAAAATTTTTTTACCTCGTAATGAAGTCTCTGCTGATACTGGACCGTTCCATTGTGCCTGAATTTTGCAGCAAAATAATTAACTGGATATGGAGGAGTTTCTTCTGCTGAATCTCTGAATAAGGTGATGTTCTCCATGTACCTGGGATTGACGATCAAGGGGTCAGGATTGTTGGTGTCATGACACTGACTCTTTGATCCTGTCCAGTGATTATTTCCGTAGACAAATCCTGGCTTTGGCGCACCACTGGCATCCAAAACTGGAATACATCAAGAGCCTTCAGAGATTTCAGAAGAGCTAAAAATTTTATTCCCCTTTGGGTGCTATTTATTTTTCATTCCAAGAGAATCCCACGACACTTACTCCGTAAACTCCAGAGTTTCCGGTCGTCAACACCTTTTTTGAATTTTTCTAATTGATATCGACATCTGCTCGACGCCGGAAGTAAATCCGCGTTTTTCGCTATTGTGTAGGCCGGCATGGTATGCTCTAATAAATTATCTCCTTCCAGGGCGTCCGTCATCGACGTGGAGATGACGATTAATGTCATCAAGACGATGAGAGTCGTCATTTTGGATTGCATCCTGATGCCCACTAGTGTCATCGTCCGAAAAACGGAGAATGAACTTTGAAATTTTTTATCGATTCAATAGATATTTTCCTTTATTTTTCCGCGGATCTGAAAACGATCTTTTCACAGATGAAACGCATTCGACGGCGACTCCAACTTCACTGCCGGCATCCTCTTATGATACATTCAAAATAACACGGATATTCATGCAAAAATTGTTGATGGACTCGAACTTCATAATTTCCCTGGTCTAAGGACGTGGAATCGAGCAAAAAGCCAGGTATCCACGATTAAAAACTCGTTGACGTATTGTCGACAAAAAAAGGTCAACATTTCTTGTACATTGCCTGGCCTTCACCGGTGTTCCACTTACTCTCGACAATAAATACATCCAATTGAAATAATATATTCACACCACTCATTGCCATTAAAATCATAAATTAGCAATTTGAATTGATCAATTGCGCTCAGAAAAAAATCACGCTAAATTTATCCCGATTGATAATGACATTTTATCGGCAAAAATTTTCAAAAAAAAAATATCAACTATTGAAAATTGAACGAGAAAAATTGATGAACATCAATCCCAACGTGATTTTAACAATTTATTAACAAAATTTTGAATTTTCCACTGGCATGGTGAGTAGATGTTGCTGGGGGTTGAAAAATCGCCTGACGTCAAACTGGTAACAGCGCTTTATCGAACTCTCATTACGAAGCTGGGGTTCGGCGAGCGAATGTGTTTTTCGGGCTCGTGTGGTCGGCCACCGGGCTTTGCACCCCCCTCATCCCCCCCTCGCCACCCACTCGCCCCATCTATTTTTCCCTTTCTCCCTCGTGTCCGATCATCCCCTTTCTCCCACCAACAAATTCACCTCCTCACCCCCTCGTTCCCTCGTCCCCTCGTCCCCTCGTTCCCTCGTCCCCTCGTCCCCCTCGGCCCGCGCCCTCTCATCCCCTCGTCCCCTTTAACCCCCCAAAAACCCATCCCACCCACCACCCACGACCAACGCCGATCCGCACATTGCGTTTAACCCTTTTGACCCCTTCACTCAAAAACCTCACCCCCCTAACCACCCATCCCACCTCTTCCGTCTCTTCCACCTCTTCCACCTCTTCCACCTCTTCCACCCCTTCCACCTCTTTCACCCCCGGGGCTGCCACCCTTTAACTGCTCTCTGGACGCAATAATAAACAACCACCCGTCGCTATGGCGACGCGTTCATCGCGCGCGAACAAAACACTCTGTGACGCTCGTATGTACCTCAAACTCACCCTCAGATTGTCGTTGTTCCACTATCACGCGTACTGCTTCCACACTGACCCATCATTCCATCAACCCGCACTACGTACTCCATTTTTAATTTTTTTTATTTTATTTTTTTTTTTTCATTCTTCTCGTAACCGACGCACTCACATTTTTTGGGGAAATTCAGACCGACAAAATACCTTCTAGATTAAATTACCATCGACCTCGTGGAATACCTGTTAGTTATTAATGGAAACGTTTGGGTGAGCCCATTTTTAGGGCGATAACGGAAAATTTTTTTGGCTATTCTGTGGACAGGAAAATGGGCGCAAGGGAATTAGCTTTAGTCCCGGATTTTTTTTATTTTCGGGAAACGAGAAGGTTGAAGAAATTGCGAAAATACAGAGGGGAATTGAATTATTTTTATTAAATCTATCAATAAAATCCGCTAGAACTAATCGAAATTTATTAATCCACAAATGCATTAGAATTTTTCAGGGGATTCGCAGATTTTTCCGGAGAAATATTCAGCAAAAATTCTAATTCAGAATTCGCGCAGATTGCATAATCGAATTAGAGAATTAAACTAACGAAAAATTACAGAATGAAAAAAT